AGACACTCTTTCATTTTATTGAATCCCAGGGTTATTGTTATTTTACACATGAGGAAAGACTTAGGAAATTAGGCTACTTGCCAAAGAATCCCACACTAGTAAAATATGGAGGTCCAATTTAAACTCAAACATCTAGGCCCAAAACCTGTGCTCTAATTCGGTATCATATTGTCTCAAAAAAGGGTAATCTACCAATCACTAATAGTCAAGTCCAGAGAGAAATCCTGGGACAGCTGGTGACAGGACAAGTTAACTGGAATCTCCATGCATTGTCAGGGGGAAAAGCAACAGATGTCTAAGCCCTTAATTTTTAATATTGAGGAAGATTATCCAGAGCTATTTGTTCTACCTCAGAACATGAGAAATCTTGGTGCTATATTGATTCAACTTAGTCCTTCCTGTTATACTTTTATATTATTTAAAAATTATGCAATTTAGGCCCTCCCTGGTGACACAGCGGGTTAAAGCACTGCACTTACAAGCTGAAACCACTTCCGCATTAGTTCAATTCCCCCCTGCCCCAGAGGTGACCACATGGTGTGGCAGACCTCTCTTGACCCGCCCGCTGTTTCCCTCAGCAGTGTACTTCGTCGATTTGCCTTTTCTGCTCCCCACTCTGTCTCTGGTGAAGTCTTTGCCACCCCTGAGTCTCTGGCCTGTACCCCAGTTCTGTATGCACAAATAAATAAATCTTTTTTAAAAAATTATGTAAATTTATTGAAACAACTTCAAATATTTTATGGTATTATTTCATTGACAATCCTAATAAATAGCAACAGTTTTTCTTCTTTGGTTCCATTCACATGCATGAATTTGTATTGATACTGAAAATCCCAGGAAATAGTAGAGAACATGCCTCAGAGTTGTCCCACTTGAGGGAAAGAAAGGAGGTTGGAGTACTGAATCACTGGCTTATTAGTTGACAGTGGCTTCTGAGGTGTTAATACCCAAGTGTCTGGGCCAACCCTGCAGCAATGAGTACCTATGTTTGAGAAAGCCTCTACATAGAAAAGTGCAGATGATTTCATAGGAAGCCATTTGCAGGAATGGCAAGTGCAAGGGACTAAGGTCAAGGTATCATAGCATCCGCTACAAAAGGTGACATTCAGCAAATATTTGAAGTAAGGAAATGAACCATGTGGACATCTGGTGGAAGGCTATCTCAGGCAGAGGTAAGAGCCCGTGTAAGGGCCCCGAGGAAGGAGTGGCTTAGTGTGCCTGAATAACAGAAAGGAGGCCCACATTGCCAGAGCAGAGTGAGCAAGGAGGGAGGATAGATACCAAAGTAAAGTCACAGGAAGCAAGATCATGTCGGGCCTTCTGAGCTGTTTCTAAGGACTTGGGTTTTACTGAGAGAAACAGGACTCAGTAAAAGTTTGAGAAGTGCAGTATGATCTAACATTTTAAAAGCATCCAACAGACTGCTGATCTGGATACAGGGAGTAATACCCAGGTGAGAGATGACAGTGCCTCAGATCAGGGTAGAGGGTAGCAGATGTGGTCAGATGTCAAGTATAATAGGAAAGTAAAGTCTTTCTTGACAGATTTGATAGTTGAAGAATGAATTACCAAGCCAAGGATTTTAGCCTGAGCAATTGCACTGTAACTTATTTGGGGGAAAACAATTAGGCATTTAGTTTTAAATTCATTGATCTGTAGATGTCTTAACAGACAGTCAATTGGAGATGCCAAGTTAGCAGTTGGCACTACAGTTGGAGTTCAGAACAGTCTAGGCAAGATAAATGAAATTAAGAGTTGGCATATGGATAATTTTTAAAGTCACAGCTGGATGAGATCACCAAGAAAGTAATCCCTATTGTCTACTCTGGATCTTCTCATCCTGTCTACCATGTCTATTATCCGGTTTAATTTTTTGTCTTTTTATCCTGCTATGCTATTAATTCCCTCTTTTATAGTTGCTAATCTATCATTTTAACTTTTTAAAACTACATTTTTTTATCCATAGAAAGTCTACTTTTTAATAGCCTTTACCCTATTTTAATTCCTACTTTTGTCTTCATTTAAACATGCACATATATTGTATAATATTTATCCAGTAATTTGTTATCTGAAGTTCTTATAAAGCTGATCCTGCTTTCACTGTGCACAATAGGTTGTTTACTTGCTCATTGTGTTTAATACTTGGAGCTCATGTTTACTAGAGCTTAGTGTGTGACCAGGTAAAGGTCATGTAAAAGTACATTTTATTTGATTTTACTAAATGACTCAGTTGTGGCTATTTCTTATGGTAATTTCTCAGCCTGGTGGTTCCCAGACCACACAGTGTATATTTGAATCCCAAACCTGTGCATTGTTACAATGGGGACCAGTGGGGTAATTTTTGCTATCTCACCTCTTCATCAAGGAAGAAGCCTTCACAGTACCAGTTTTATGTAGGGGGAGGTCCCATTTTTAACTTCTACAAGGCATGGGCCAAAGTTATTAAGTACTTATGTGGACATTAACACCAAAGAACAACAATCTACTCACATGCTTTCTTACCTTCCCTAGCAGCATAGCCAGTTCACATGCTGGTTTTGGTTCTCCGGCTTCTGAAAGTTCTCTTCTTTTCCTAAAAATTTAGCTTTGCATTTCAAAGAATGTCATACTTTGGCCAGGATCTCTGTAGCAATATTATTTTCAGGCCATCTCATCTGTCATCTCAGAAGAATTGGATGTGCCTTGTGGGGTGATTTTAATGGCCAGATTAGCTTAGCAAGAACTGTTTTCCAGGCCCTCCCTGGAGGCACAGTGGGTTGGAGCACTGCACTGCAGAGCTAAGCCAAGCCAAACTGTGGCTGCTTCAGTGCAAGTTCGATCCCCAGCCCCAGAGGTAACCCACATGGTGCAGCAGACCTCTCCTGTCTTGCCTGCTGCTTCCCTCAGCAGAGTACTTTGTCAGTTGGCCTGTTCTGCTCCCAACTCTGTCTCTGGTGAATCCTCTCACCATCCCTGCACCTCTGGCCTGTTCCCCATTTCTGCATACATACATAAATAAAATCTTAAAAAAGAACTTTTCTAGAACAGCAGGCCTACTTCAGTGGACATGGTGACCCCTAGCTCCCTGTCTTGTTGGAAGCATCTACTCCTGTGAGAGTTAGTGTGGAGAGTGATCTCCAAGCACCATCCTTGTGACTTATTCCTTGTGACTCTGCTGGCCCTGATGAGTGCTTGTTTCAGTGTATTCCAGAACTGACCAGAAAGGCCTATGTGATGATGAATGAGCTCAAGACAAATGTGACCAACTGCATGACAATCATCCAGTATGCCCTGGCCAGCAGGCCCCAGAACTGCCTGTCCAGGAATCCTATGGAGGGAAGTCTAGCAGAGCCATGCCATTCTAGCCAATGACAGAGAGTAGAGAGAATAGGGATTGGTAATACAGCTACTTCCTATGGTCTCTACAAGAAAATGCACATCATTTGCCATGCCCTCTTTCCCAAGATATCCTAAAGATCTGGGAACCGCAAACAAATCCTGTTAAGGGCAAAGGAAGTTAGGAATCAGAACTCTTTGCCCATGGCTCCCACTAGTTGGGATGATAAGCAGAGCCTGAGAAGGTCTACCTATTTGGCCATAGTCAAAGGAAACCTGAGGACTGGCAAACAGGGCTGTGTGTACACAGTCACCATGTGTCACCTGAAGGAATGAAGCCAGGACAATTTAAAGCTGCTCTGGAAAGTCTTGGCATAGAAGGAGAGTAAGTGAAAGTCATTTTAAGACTTTCATATCAATTAGTGAAAGAGAAAGGAGCTGGAGAGAAGAGAGTGCAGAGACTTCAAGGAAAGCCTTTTGCTTTTTCTGTTCAACAAAGCACTCCTTCATTTGCTCAATGATGGGCTGATTAGAATTGCAGGGTGTTTGATTGGATAGATGCCACCAGTTCAAACTTCAGTGCAGTTCTGTATCCTTTTTGCCTATCAGCCTCCCACTGTGGTCTCTCACTGCTAACTTCATGGTAGGACTGCTCTTATTTTAAGCCTCTTAATTTGAGATAAAAAACTGTCTCCCCTGTATGCATACATAAATAATTATTTTAAAAAGTGCAGATTCCAAGTTCTCATCACACACCAAAAACAGTGAGATTAGGGAAATCTACAACTTGATTAATAATCCATAATGATACTCTGTGAATCAAATAGAATGATCAACAGTGATTTGGAAATATTCTTAATGTCTCAGAAATAAAATACCCCCCCACCCCAAAATATGTTCACCCTATGAGAAATTGGAACTTTCATATTTGGTTTTATGGAAAAAAATATTTGTATCCTCAGGAGTAAATCTTAAAGGATGCCTGGCACACAAAATGTACTTGTGTCTTTAAATAAAAAATGTTCTATCCT